GAAAGAGGCCATGAAGAAAATCACTCTGGAAAACACTCGGCTGAGGATGTCTTGGAAAAAATATGGCCTGCACAGGACATTACTCTAGCATGGCACAGATTGTTGTTTGAAATCCTTCCTTCATTAACACTTTGTTTCTGTTGCTAAATCTGACAGATTTTTTAACTTTCAGCCACTGTGTTTCATAGGAACCTCAAATGCTCATCCTTACACAGACACAGGCACTACAGCCCAGGTCATGGCCTAAGAAGGAATGAAAGAGCTATGAAGTCCCAGCCTGTGTGGAGAAAAGACATAGGTCTTTAGCTGTAAACAAAAGGAAGCAAAAATGCAGCCACTTCATTACAAGTGAGAATTTCGTCAGAAGTGTAAATGTTTGAAATTTATGCAAAAGTATTTTTTCTCTCCCTTTTTCTTTGTTTTTTCCTTTGTTTTTTTCACAAACTTATTATCAGCTTTAAAACTATTACATATCCTAAAGCATTTGTTATGGAACATTGCTACTTACACAGCACAGTGCAATGGAGAGAAGCTATTTCCATAGAATGTGCGGAAACATTTTTGTTCCAATAGTACCTCTATGCAGTTTTCATGACCTACAAGAGAATAAACATTTCCCAGTGTTGCATAAGGCAAGTAATTAATTTAATTTTTAGTAGACTTGCATGGATTAGAATTTAACAATCCAGTTAAATGGATTTTTAAATTCTTTTTAGTGGCAGCAGCAGGATATATCCAGGCTAACACCAGTACTTATTAAAAACATGGAAAGGAAGAGGAAGGTGTTTTTTTCTTTTGTGATGTTATGGATGCCTAATATTAGACATTGCTTTACACATCTGCAAAGATGTTCTTCAATTATGGCATTAGGAAGCTTTATCCTTATATTAAGCAACAAGTTCAGATTATCCAGTTTAGAATAATCAGTTAAGTTCAGAATATCCATCTATTCTGGCGGCATCTTGCATCAATAATTAAGAAGGTGACACCACAAAGGAGCATTGCTGGCCCCACAGAAATCCATGAGACTTTAATCACTGAGGTCTGTAAAAACAGAATTTCACCTTGGCCTCCTGTGACTGCAAGCAAATGAGCTGCAAAGCCACTGGAAAGTATTGCTGGAATTTCCCTGGCTTTTGACCTGAAGGCTGAACATAGCAAATGCTCACCACAGAGAGCAAGTCGAGGGGGGATAATTTTCTCTTCATTTCAAGCTGCTCAAAGTGGTGTTGGGGCTGCTTTGCTATCGTGTTTCCCTAAAGCTGAGGCCACGCTGGAACTTGGCAGAAGTCCACAGGGAGAACCTTACCGTTGTAACAAGCCCAGTGCAGTGGTGTGTAACCTTGATTATCCTTCAGACTGCAGTCTCCCTCCGAAAGTGCCACCTGCAGCAGCTCGCTCAGCCAAGTGGCGTGACCCCGCGCCGCCGCGAAGTGCAGGGGTGTCCTGCCACGGGCATCCTTGCACAGGATAGAGATTTCCTTCTCTAACAGCATCTGAACACACTCTTCATGCCCGGTCATAATCTGGTAACAAAGGAATGAGTAAAGACATTGACATAATACAGATTCTTGCCCAGGAAACATGGGATAGGATTGATGCTGGTGAACATGAAACGGCCTGGATGGGATGCAGAAGGCAGAGATGAAAGCTTTATTGCTCCCATAGGTACCTGTGATAACTGATACTGTGAAATGTATTTGGTGCTGTCTTTCCTAGTCTGTGGAACAGACTCTACTAAGTGAGGCACAGAAGCGAGGAGTTTAAGACTAAGGAAACAGATGAATGAGAAAGAGGTTCAGAAAACCTGAGTCTGGCTTCTCAACACCATATAGGAATGTGAGAGAAGAACTGAGGAAAAAAAGGATCAAGAAAGTAATCAGAAACATGAAAAGTTCTTTTATCAGCTGGCCAGTTACTATAACTGACATCTGTATTGTACCTAGGGTTTGACATCTCAGTCACATTCATGTATAAGTATCAACTCAGAACAGAAATGTTATGCCATAGCTTTTATTACAGACTCGTGCTGGGCTCCTAAGCTGAACTGCTCACTGCAGTTATCACAGAGTTCTGTATAAGTATCATCTCTTGCATCACCTTCACACGGGGTAGGAACCTGACTCTTAGAAAACATTAGATCTGCCTCAAGTTTCAGAGTCCAGACCAAAACTTAAGGCTTACTTATTTACACCATCCTCCCCAAGAAAAAATAAATGCTGGGCAGTACTTTTAAAGAAATTCTTTTCAGAATTCATAATGTGCTCAGTTATAAAAATAATTACTGCTACATTAAAGTGTCTAGAGCCAGAAAAAATTGGTCTAACCAGTATTTTATCTACTTTATTAAAGTGAATGTGAAATAAAGCCAAAAGCAGAGTATTACTGAGAGGAGATTTATCCTGTTTTTTACATCATTGACTGTGCTTGGTCATGTTTCCAATAATTTAATTACAGTGTTCCCTGTAATTATGTTCCAGCCATTCACTATCCCTGTACTTAAAAGTGTCTTGTAGTCACAGTAAAACAGTTAAGAATAAAAAAAATGAAGTCACCCCTCGGTGTAAAGCTGTACATCCCAGGAGATCAGCGGCATCTACAGATGCTTCTTTTTCAAGTAATAAAGAAACAGCATCAATGTGCCCATATGCCACTGCAAGCATTAGTGGGGTTCTGGAAAAAAGCAAAAACAAACCAGTCAGAGCTATACAATTACATACTACTTGCCACTCTTAGCCTACAGAAATGTGGGAATCAGGAAGGCCTGCACTTCTCTCTGTTCCTACCCAACAACCTGTTTCTTTCACCACACTCGTCTATATAACACCCAAGTGAAGACCTTTTGTATGAAATTATTAAGATGTTTAACAACCAACGACCAGGACTGAAATAGAAGCAAACTCACTGTAATCAGTTTATAGACCAACATCAGTCAAGACCATCTGTTCTCTTAAACTACAATTATTGTCACCTCCAGCAACAGGAGCTTTGCAATACCTAAGTGCTGTGAATGAACTTTCCTGCTAGTTACCAAGATGACCACAATACCAAGCATTTCCTTTGTAAATGCTGCACAATTGCTTAAAGGGGATGAAAGGATGTGAGGAAACTATTCAAGCCAAAATTTAGAAAAACATATCTTTCTTTTTTTTTCTTTTTTTTTCTCAAAGGGATCTATTCTCCTCCTATTTTTAGAGAAGACTAATACAGTTTAAAATTATATGTATAGTCAGATATCTTCCAGGCATCCCAAATGAGTTTTTTAAACCAGTCACAATAAAGCCTAAAAATAGGCTTTATTCTCCCTCCCTTGCAAGAAGCAAATTTTTGGTAGGAATACCTCAGATTCACGTATCACCTCAAATGAACATTCTTTCCCACTGCACCAGCCTAATATACTGACTAAACCCTGAAATAACAATGTTTTAGAAAGAAAAAGACTCCTACTCTCTATAGAAACATCTCAGGAGCTTGTTAGTTTTTATTGAGTCTGGCCCTCAGCGTCCCTGTAGAATTGTTTGAAGTATGAAGGAAAGGCTCAGATTGATGAATAATCCTTTCCACGTCTTAGATCAATTGAATGTATACCCTGTAATCTCTGCAAAATTCTATAAAGAGAGATGCAGGAAATACAGTATTTCAAATAAATGTTTGTTTGTTTGTTTTTGTAAGAAATCCTAGATGCTATTTGAATGAGAGCTGAAAGAAAAACCATCACAAAGAAAACTTACTGTCCTTTGGCATCTGTCACATCAGGGTTGTCTGCAACTTCTAGCAACAACCGTAAACAAGGTGTATGGCCATTAATGACTAGAATGAAAAAAAAAAAAAAAAGAGTGTAATTAAAATACGTTTAATTTCAGACACTTTTCATTGGAATGCTTATGGATAATAAATTTCCTTATAAAAAAGGAAAATATTCCACTGCATAAGAAGTCCCACAGTCTTCCCTGACCTCGGTTAGACGAGGATTATTTCTCTTACGTACAAAAAACCCACATGAGTAAAACAGAAACGGCCATTTTCACTATGGAGAAGATTTCTGCTGAATCAGACAGCATTTCAAAATCCATCCAAGCAAGGGAGCAGACAAGGCTTCCACAATCAGATCGGAGAGACAGGAGGCAGAACGTCAGCAAGGCTCGTGAATTCTGTGTGCACTGTATGAGCAAGTTCCTCAGTGCTGCTATGGGGAAAGAAGGATCTGTGAAGAATGACCTATGATACAAATGTCACGTTCCTAACAGAACATAACACCTGAGAACCAAACTACCTTTTCATTTTTCCAGCTCTTCTAGTTTTATGTTACTGGAAGCCACAGCTACTTCTCAAAAGCAGAGTTTGCTTTTTAAAACACAACACACTGGAAAGCCATCTGTGTGTCAGCTGGCTTAAAGGCTTCAGCTTTATACAACTCATGGGATGAACAGGACAGTATTTTCTCATTTGAAAAACAGCAATTCCTGTACTCAGTAGATATAGATCATGTTCTTGTTATAGCAAGTCATGCAGCCACTCTGCCCACACCCTATGGGCTGAGGCAAAACCCTTGAACACCACCCATGTCACATCACTCTGGCAGAGGAATGGGTGCACATCGTCACATTTAAATCTTACTCATCGAAAATAATCTCAGCTGCTCTACCCAGAAAAATAAAAGACATTTTTAGTTATTTACCACTAAGTTGTGCCATACACGTAGCATGTAAACAGTTCTGCAGGACTGATGAGTCACTGGCTTAGGAGGTTAAAAAACATATTTAGAAATATCTCACTCCTGCCAGCAGGAGGAAGAGAAATCTTAACTTGTTCACACCAACATCTGAAAAAGATTTTGGTAAATGAGTTTTAGAATAGATAGTCCCAGCAACTCTTAGGAGCTGCCCCAGCGATTGCTCAGCATTGCAGACCCTGCAGGGAACAATAGCTTTGCCAACAGAGCTTCAACACTAACACCAGGGGAACATTTGCAATGGATTCCCCAAGCTAGTTGGGGGCAAGTCTGGTGGTAATAAAATGATACAGGGAACATATAATTTAGGCTAAGGAAATTCTCCATATTATGAGGTCAGAAGCAGACTATTTCCTGAGGGAGACAGACAGAAAAAAGAAATATTTCATTAGGTGAATTATTTCACTATTGAAGTTACAAATCTCTTTACTGAAGAGAGCTCTCCAGAATCCTGTAATTCAGTCCACCACTCCAAGCCTCCTTAATTGTTGAGTTCGGCAATTAATTGTGCTCACGTAATTAGAAGGAATGAAGGCAAACTTGTTTAAGGGGATGGGCACACACGCCTTCTTGTTTGTTTCCAGTGCACAGCAAATACAAGTATTCACTTTGATGTGTGCAAATGCACATTGTCACTCAAGGGATAAATTCAGCAAGAATTCTATTTGATTTCTCAAAATACGCCAATTTTCGTCTTACACTTGCACTGCAAATAAAAGAATACTGCAGTGGCATCACGCCGGGGCAGCACCATCTTTGCTAAAACACTCCAAAACAGAATGCATTGTTATGAAAAGGCATAATAAAAATCATTAGCTTTCAAGTGGCTTTTTGTAATAGCCAAAGATAGAACCCTTACACCATAGCTAATTTCCACAGAAATCTGCATAGCCCTTGAGTGGAAGGTTCTAAATGTTGTCTTAAAGGATATTTACCCAAAGTGCACTTATCTCTCATTTAAAAGCCTCCAAATTCAAAACAGTGATACATTTCCTTTACTAAGAGTTCAAATATTCAGCCTGTATGTGCTATATTTTCCCTTCTGCTTAGGGACATGTTCTCTTTAGTGTCTCTTAACTGTGGGTTCAGGGTTTTGTTTTGTTTTGTTTTGTTTTTAATACATGCCTAGTTTTGCTTCACTGCAGATCTAGAGAACATTTTGTTTGTATCTCTGGAAAATTTTTTTTAATCTGAGAAGCAAAATGTATCACAGACCAGAAAAGTCTTCAATGAGTCTTTCTACCAGTTTTAGACTGAAGACACTCATACTACAGTGACAGGGGCAATTTAAAAACAAATTAAAAGAGAAAAGAAACAAACCACAATCAGAATGTAATAATCATGCCTATAAAAATAGCACCTTCTATTCAAGAAATATACTCAGTTCTACCCAATAGATCAATTCAACAAATCCAGTCAGAGCTATTAACAAAAATATGGTTTTGTTACCGTTTACTTTTCTCAGTGTTGAAGAACCTTTATAAATCAGCTGTGACAAGACACCTATGTCACTATAACCAACATTTTAAATAAATGCAACATCATTGTTATAGTGAAGATGTAACACCTTGGCAAAGTCACACCTTGCTCATCATCAGATCCTAAGCTATGCTTGAAAATGACTGTAATAAAGCTCTTGACCAACACAGCTACAGTTCTGTAGCAGCACAAATCTTGATTTTAATTGATTAAACCAGGGTGAGGATCAGCTGGATTTAGTATTTTGTATTTTTTTCAAAACCAACTGAAAACTACTCTCACTGAATTCTGGTCTCAAATTTCTGATATGTAAGCTCTGGCAGCACATCTCTGTATCATTAGGTTATTGTGGGGAGTAATGTACTCAGTTCTGACGCAAAATTTAAGAAGGCAGAAAGCATTTAGCATATTGTGAAGATCTACTACACACATTTTCTTCAGTACAGCAGACAAAGCTGATAATAGTCTTTTTGAACTTATGCTTTCAAGCTGCACTTATATGATCACACACACAGAGCAAACTGGTGCTAAAGGATGTATATACATTTTAATCCAAGCAAGATTAAAAGATAAACAGAAATACAATTAAGTCTGGCCTTGAAAATACTACTTCTCCAACGCGGTATTAATTTTGCTTCCCACTAGAGGTCCCTGCTATGCTGTACTGAGCCCCCCGATGAAGAGCCAGATAACAGATGCTTCCTTCACACCTTTGTGTATTTATCTGACAGGTACATATTAAATTATAACCTTTGAATAAACGGCAAATTCTACATTTTCCAGTTAATTATGCACGTTGCATAATTAGCACTCAATACAGGAGGAATGGAGCAGAATCCCAGCAACAACAAGTTCCCAAGCTAGCTCAGGATGTCTGAAAAGGGGTGAATTTCTGCAGTGTTGCCCCTGCAAAAGGTTTAAAGTCTTGAACCTCAGGATAAATTAATCACCAATGAGACACTACCTGTATTTCCAACCTTTCTTCCACAGGAGAAGCAGTGAGGCAAATGTTCTCACTTCCCCTGATTTTTCGGCCGAGGAACCATTAAGAGAAGGTGTCATAGAGGAAACACACATCTTAAAGAGCAGCTGGTCACACAGACGTAAGACAGAGGCAAAGCAGCAGCAGTATGGAAAAACACAGGATTCTGTGTGAGGGAGGACTGAACCAGAAGGTCAGAGGAAAGAAGACCAAGGAAGTGAAAGATCAAGGGTTAGCTGTAGGACCTCAGCAAACAAAGCAGCAGTCCTCAGTACACCTCAAAATCTTCTTCCATTTAGAAGAAACGTGCAGAGGGATAGCAGGTAGGTAAAGGTAACTGCTTCTGTGTTGTAGGGTTTATACCACAAGTGGAACATAAGTGCACACTCACCTGAAGCATGAAGGGGGGTCCTTTTAGTGACATTGTCTTTTACAGTGACAGAAGCACCCTGGCTGATGAGAGCTTCCACACACTCTGCATGTCCCTTAAACGCAGCCAGGTCCAAAGCAGTGCGTCCCTTCTCGTCCTTAATGTCCAGATCTACCAGAGATTGGAGAAGTACCTCCAAGGCTTGATGATGACCATTATAGGCCTAGAAATATGAAATGTGTCATATAAATAACTCAACTGCTGTCTTGCAAAGACTTTGACAAAAAACATTAACAAAATCCACCACTGTCACAGTCTCATAAACACAGTAGAAATCACTGTTTTCTTGATTCCTTAGGAATCTCTCTTCGATTTGAAAGTATTTTCCCAACTTACACTGTAGCCAAGAAACTAAAAAATTCTGAATGTTCAGGGACAGAAATGATGATAGTTGATTTTTCTCAAATCTTCTAGTACAACCCAATGTAAGGAATTTCAGGTGATAATTTGGCGATTCAGCACAGATCAATCAACAATTAATTTTTCACATTGTACAGTATATTTCAGGGAAATGTTTGCTTCAGAATCTAGATTCTCTAGAGTGATGCTGGTCAGAAGTTGCATGGATTAGCACCTAACTGGCTGCTAAATTCAACACATCTGCTGGTCTCCAATCCAACCAAAGCAACTCTCAATACAGTTCTTTGTACAAATACAGACACTGCTTTGACCTAGTGTTTTTAGCTGATGCTTCATGAAGTATTTCTGCCAATAGGATCTTTTGGTAGAACAACTACAGTGGACAAGTAGATGCATCTCCAGATCTATACCCAGATTTGGGCCAAATGCAGAAACATAGGTGACACTGTCAAAACCCAGTGGACGGCCCCAGAAGCTGGAAACATTTCACTCAGCTTTGCAGGTACTGCCCCCTCCTGTCCTTACTGACAGACTCATAGAGAATATCCTTTTAATTTATACATGAACATACAGTTAGTATTACCAGGGTTGAAGCAAATAATGAAAACAGAGGAGAAATGCAAACATGAAGGAACCAAAGAGTCACTGAATTTCAAGGTTAAGTAGTGGTGGCAGCATCTTGCTCCTAGTGACCACTGTCAAGAGCTAAAAAGAACAAGACAGTGCAGGTAATTATTTCCCTGTTAGATCAAGAAAGCTACTTAAGAAAAGCAAAGGCAAATGCCGCAAAAGAAAAGCAAAGGGGGATTAGGGCACAGGGAACCCGTATCTCAGAGAACACCCTGACATGGTTGTCAGCTTTTCTTCTTTATGACAACTCTACTTAGAAAACAATTAGCAACAGCATGATCTTTGACACAATATCAACTATCTGTCTTGAAGGTGCAAAGCAGACTGTATACCCCATCTTCTCCTTGAAAGAATAATGAAGTTGACTTTTTCTTCCTGTTGGTTTTCCTTGTGCGGTCACTTAGTCATGATCATATTCATGCGCTATAGCCTCAGGGAATGGCAGGTCAGTATTTTCTTGGCTGCTACTCCACCCCTTCTTTCTAAACCCTATTTCCAATCTAGGGGCCAACATCTGTAAGCAGAGGCCTTGGCCACTGCACCATATCAGCCATTTAACAGGACTTTTTGTTTTGGTGTAGCATACTGGCTTACTGGATCCACATGTGGAGAGATTTGTGTGGACACCGCTAGAGCTGGGGAAGGCACCCCAATGCATGGCATGGTTTGAAACAAACATCAGAAACACTCTTAGATAGCTGCAATTGAACATGGAAATGGTGATGTTCTATGTAGGCTTCTTTATTTTTGAACTGTGGGTTTGGAGTATCTTAGGTGAATTAATTGCTATTAACCAGCAACATATGCAAGAGGGAGAGGCACTGGCAGTGTCCAAGTACCCAAGAGGGACCAGAAAGGAAATGAGTTTGCTATCCGGCCAGCTGCAGGGCAAGTCCCTTCCCAGCCCAGGAGCTTGTGTGGGTGATAGTGCAGGTTCTAACTCCTCCCTGGGCTTGGGAGTGACACTCTACTTCCCACAGTCTTCAAACTGCAGAAAAAAAAAAAGATGGGGAGTAGAGTTTGGCAACAAACTCAGACTTTTAACCCAACTGTTTTGGCTCTTGCTCCTTCAGATTGCATGTGGATAATTCAAACATCAGGTCAGAGCTGTTCTGGCTGCAGGGGAAACTGAAATATGATCACTACAGAACTAAAACTTGCCCCTATTTTCAAGTAAGCAAGTTGCTTCCCTTTCAAGAGGAGGGCAGCTTCACAGTGCTGTTGGATATTCAGTGAAGAGCCAGTCTGTGAAAGATGCATGAGGAGAGGATGAGAGAGCTGGGACTGTTCAGATTCAAAAAGAAAATGCTTTCTTTTTTTGGGGGGGTCTATCAATGTGTATAAACACCTGATGAGGGAGCAAAGAAGACAGAGATAAACTCTTCTCAGGGGTGATCAGTGACAAGACAAGAGGTAACAGGCCCAAATTTAAACACAAGAAAATTCCATTTAATGCAAAAAAGCCTCCATTTTTACTGTGATGGTGACAGATTGCCTGGAGGCTGTGAACCTTCCATACTTGGCATTACTCAAGATGTGATGGGGCAGAGCCCTGAGACAACCTGCTGCATCTAACTCTGCTTTTGGTATGGAGGTAGGACTAGTTGATCTCCAGGGGTTCATGCCAACCTTAACTATTCTGTGCTTCTGCACAATAAAACTGGGAAGAGGGATCATGAATCTTGAACTCTTGAGAAGGAGGAGTATTTGTGATCTGAGGCCACATGTGCCAGATCCCCTTTTGACAGCACAGTTTCCATGACACATTCCCAGGGCACTGCTGGGATTTAAGCATGCTTTCCCACACCTTGCTGTGTACCAGACAGTTTTTTGCACTGCAGATTTCCAGGAGAACATCAGAGTATCCCATTCCATGACCTAATCCATATGCTTAAGTTCCGACCCCAAATTTCTAACTATTTATAAATAAAAATTGTGACTTTCCATTTGATTTCACTTCAGTGCCTGTCTTCTTCGTACTCAAGTGTTAGTGTCAATAAGAACCAAGAGCTTCAACTGCCAAAAACTTAATTATTCTAGCCCAGAACTGTTACCTATTTTTATTACATCTAGGTCTACATCCCTTTTGAAGTTTTTCAAAGCAAGAGTATGATTAAACCTGCTTCAAAGACAGAGATTAAGGAATTATGCTAGGAGATGCTGATCAAATAATTTACACATCTCATACTTACAGCTAAATGCAAAGGACTTTTTGTAGCTGCAGAATCAGATTCCTCAAAGATACTGTTGGTTTTTTCCAGAAGCTGGGGGAAAAAAAAAAAAAAAAAAAAGAAAGAAAAAGACAGTCTTAAAACACCTTTGCATGAGAGTGGATAAGTTCTTACAGCCTATAAAGCAGCAGATGAAGATATAGTTTGTCCTGAGATGTCAGCTGTGAGTATTGAAGGACCATGAGGAATAAATACTTGACAAGCTTTTCTGTTAAGTATTTTCAAATTTTTCCCCATAGGGTAAAACTATAAAACTAGTTTAAAAGCTTGTCATGACCATCCTTACCGTAATTAATTAGTTTCCCTGAAATCATAGGGCCCGCTTGGATGAGAAAGGAGCCCTCAAAACAAAGGATTTGCAGAATAGAGCCCTCAGTAAGTTTACATTGGAATAAACACAGTTTCATGAATACATATGTAATGCATGAATACACATGAAATGCTGCTGATACAGCATTTCAGATCATTCTGACACATAATTAAGGCTAGGAATAATTATAACTGATCTGTGAGTCATTCATAATAATTCTAATAATTTATCAATGTAGAACTTTCTCCTGTAATGACAGATTTCTGAAACACATCCTTGATCTCTTACAAACATCTAAAAACATGCATAATGCTTTTATATGATTCTCTTCATTTCAAGGGATCCCAAACATTTTAAGGCTTAACCCTAGGGTATTTCTGTCCATCTAGGAGGAGGAACTACGGATCCATAGTTCATGCCAGCACATGAACCCTGGCAACTTATCCAATTGAGAATTAAGAGGAATTACAGAATTGAACACATCCCTACAGCTCAGTGGTAGGGGGGAGGAATCAAGTCCCACACCAGTTTTTTCAGTAGGTTTGTGATGGAATTAGGAAACACATTTGGTCTTACTATGTGGATCCACCTCCAGTTTGGAATATTGTCCTGCTTTTATACAGGATAAATATAAACAGGTTGAAGCAGTAGCCAGCTCTGAACCCATGAATACATTCTGATTTTCTCTAGTGAGTAAACAAAATAAAAATCCCATGTAACAAACCCAAGCACTAAGCCTGTTCTGCCACCTGCCTAATACTGACCTTTACTCTTAAGTCCATAAGACCAGCACAACAGGCTAATTTAATATTTTTTAATTACATTCATCATCATCTGTTGAAATTCCAGGATCAAATACTTCCCTTAACATGTCAGAAGGCTCCAGAAGTGTCCTGGAGCAAGGCAGATAATTGCCTTACTCATTAAGGTTGAATGTCTCCATCATAAAGTTAAGTGTAAACAAGAATTTGATGGTAAACCTGGTAGCTCTCAGATACATAGCCAGGCAGTGCAGGAAGAGAACTTATAAAGGAGAGCAAGAAGAGGAAGAGTAAAGACACAGCACTAACAATTGTTATTGCGCCTTGTCAAGCATCACTTTATAACAATCAAAACTAAGTCACTTGAGGATGAACACCATGCACAAATGGACAAAAAGGATCAGGTCTGAGTTACCAAACAATTCTCCAGTTTCACCAGCACTTCTATGGTTCTAAGAATATATTTCTAGTAAATCACATACACATTTTGAAGAACACATAAAACAGGGTGTCCTAGGGGTGCTCTAGCTCCAGTAACGCTCCAATTTCAGCGTATACTTCTAAGAAGCTACCCACAGTTGCATCAGTTTTTAAAAAGGTGAATTTATTGCTCAAAACCATGTGGCCTGACAGCCATGGAAGCTGAAAGGCACAGAGGTTGCCCAGGGATCCAGCTGTGCAGTGATACACAGTAGGTACACACCTGCCTGCTGGGAGCTGGGCCAGGGCACTTCAGTGGGGACAGGCAAGTAAGCATGAATGACTAAAAGTTTGTGGTTACCGGTGACTGACTGGAGAATCTCCCAGCATATCTGGTTTCTAAGTCTTCATGCTATTGAAATTGTGTCTTTTAGCTGAATACATTTCCATTTATTGATAGTGTGCAGCTTTTAAGCAGGTGTCAGAAAAGTGCAGAGAGACTGCAAATTAAATGGGTGGGCATTCTTCTCTCTGGTTAGATCACAACCTTTCAAAAGGTAAAGATACCCTTTACTCTCTTTCTGCCTCTTGTAAATTCCCAGTACGACCCTTCACTTCCCATGACAGCACGATTTGATACTGTATGTAATTATTTTGTGAAGTCTTCTTCAGACTGAGAAACAGGAATGTGAATGCTTTGGGAGTGAGATGCAGACAAAGTAAGATAAAACGTGTCAATTATTCAGTTCTGTTGTTACAAACTAATAGCACTACAAGGTTGCTATTATAAACTGCCTTCTCTGCCCCAGCTCCATATGAATATTAATAACTGTCACAGTTCTCACAATTTTATTTTAGTTGTACAGTAAGTGTATTTCCAGGCATAAGAGGATTTACCACTTTATTTTACTCTATGGTTACAATAAAGGATTATATGGCAAGATATAGTGTGGGGTACTTCCCCCCTTCCATTTTCTTTTTTGACTGAGATACATTAGTTAATGAGCCAGGATACTTTATATGGGTGTTCTTAATAGACTGCCATATATTCTAAAAGACAGCTGTAGTTAAACAAGCTTCATGGACCATCTTGGTAATTTAAAATTACCATTAGGCAGAGAAGGAGGTAATACTTTCAGTATACATAAAAGATTTAAACTACACTTTTAAAAGGAAGATGTCAGAAGAAACTGCCAGCCACAGACACAGTAATGATGGGTGCTACCTCAAACCCCAAGAGAAAGCAGAAGGTGTGATGCTGTACAAGCCGTCACACCCCCACACCTGCAGGCACAGCCTTTCCCCCGGTGCCAAAGTGTTGATCCAGCTGCCACTGGGGCTCCAGTGACTTTTCTCTGAGTTTTCCCATTTTAGTGAGGGAGGCAACTTCTACATTCCAACACACATACTTCCAGTGCTGTTATGAACTTCTTCAGTTTAGTGCTGTTTGCCATTGTAAAATTAACACACACTAGATTACATGTGTATTACCTGTAAATGCCCTTTACTCTGAATGGTTATTAAGCAAACAGTGATCAGAAATTTTCACACACACAATGAGCTGATCAAAAGGCAATTAAGACAAAAGCAATAGCTGAACCTTGCTCTTCTGCAATAATTACATAGCAATGTAGTTTATCACTTACAAGTTCATTCTGAATTGGCCACTAGGAACAATTTTTTATGTCACATTCAGAACTGAATACATCAGCTAGGATGTCACTTTTTATCTCATTTTTTTTCTAACAAATTGCCACAGATAGTTGTCTCTACTGGAGGTAAATATACCAGCAGCAGCTTCTTTTAAATAAAGGCTTTTCCAACAAGTAGCAAGCACAAGACTGAAGACTGTCATCAGTTGTTTCAGATGAGGTAGAAAAAAGTAACAAAATGAACCTCTGTACTGCTTTATACCAGGGAATCACATTTTTAAATAACAGAACTATTCTTGATTAATAAAAAGTTGAGGTTGTAAAAACATATCCTCAGGGGGAACAATCAACCCTATAAGCCCTTATGATGTTTGTAAACACAAATTATCAAATAACATCAATTTGATCAGGTTAAAACCCACAGACATCCTTAACCCAGGTGTCCTATGTTTTCTTAAAATCAAGCTTTAAAAATCAGACTAATAACTGTTTACATCAGTTTAACTCACACTGGGTGAAGTTAAAAAAAGATAAGCAAGGACTTTCACACGTGCTTAGGTAGATTGAGTCTGAAGACATTTATTAGTAGTTCCATGCAACTCTGCCAGTACAAAGTTTAAATATCCAATACCCTACCAGAACAGTCACTACCATGCAAACAGGACACTTACCTGGCATATAAGAGAACAATGCTCATCTTTAAACATATCTAAATCTCAAAATTCAAGCAGACCTCCAGGCCACTGGCTGTTCTCACCTGGGATACTAATCTTCAGTTGGAGCTCTTCCACTTCACACAAAATCATTCCGTGTTAAGCCATAGGAGTGCCATGCTCATGGGTTGGTTACACAGAACATTCTCACCCAATGACTATTTATACAAAGCAGGACAGCTCCAAATGAGAGCGAGAGCTCCTACCCAGTACCAGCCAGGATAGTATGCCGGCCACTTCCCAGGGTGTGGAGTCCAATTTCTTTGTCAGTCAGGACAGATATTTGAACCTGGAACTTTCACACTTGAATCACATATACCGTGTTTCTTTCTGGGCAGAAATTCTACCTCAGAGGTTCAGTGAAGCCTCAGAGGTTGGTTTAAGGACCCTCCTATGCAGTGAAAGTTTTTCAAAATTTTACACACTTGTGTCAAAGATATAGTAAAGCTTTTATGTAGAGAAACTATTCTCCTTAAAAAATTTCTCTTCACCTAGAAAATTTGAGTGCTGGTGAAATAAAGTGAAAATTTTTATGTTGTTTTTCAGTGGGATTTTTGTGACTCTCCTCTCATTTGTGCCTCTACTGTGAAATACACACAAGTGCTTTTTAAATTCACTCTCACTCAAAGACATGTAATTTACATTTCTTCTCTGAACCACTTTGAAACTGGCCACAAGCTTCCAGAACACAGACAACTGTTGGCTCCATTTCACCACTGCAAAATGCCTTACCAAATGCAAAGGTATTTTAACATCCAGAAAAGTGTCATGCCAGTCAGGTACGTGCACTTGGCTCACAGCTCCTAAGACTGACTGAGGAAAAGCAACAGACTTTCTATAGCAAAGCCTGTAAGCAACAGCAAGGAAATCCAATGGAAAGAAAGCAGCACACATGCAGTGGCTTGAAGTACATGGCATGCTAGTTACAAGCTGTGATTCTTCTTCAAGCTTCATCAGAGTGAATACAAAGAATTTGCAAAATACTGTAAGAAGTTTAAATAAAAATACATGACATGCAATCATTTTTCATTTACTCACTATATCCAATGGAGTTTTGCTTCCAATCTAATTAAAAATGTCAATTAGAATAATTAAAGACATAAATATTCAAGCATAATGGTAAACTGCAAGCACTTCTTGGTTTTTTGCTTTGTTTTTCCTGTAGAATAAATGGTAC